ACCCGCGCAGGTCAAAGACCTGCAACTGTGCTTTGCATACACTTAAAGACTTAGAACTCATCCACTCTTCGGCGATTCGCACAGAGCTCACGTACGAAAAAAGGACACTCCAAGCATTCAAGGCATATGCAAGCCATGTGACACGTTTCACTGCCCCTGACCAGTGCTTACGGAACTGTTCGTGATCAGTGTGATCCTGGTACCTTCCCAGCCAGACGTGCACTGTGCAAACCATGATGGATGCTTGCAATTTTTGTTCAGCGACTGCTTCAATGTCTATCCGTCATACGTACAGGGTAGCTCAAATGCTTTAGATACTGTCGACACGGACTAGATCTAGCCACTTTGCTCTCATTGTTCAGTACCTCCCTCAGCGGTTGCCAACTCCGAAACCTCCACAAAGATGTGCTTGGCCCCAGATCATGGTGAAGAGGAAGGCCGTCGCGACATCCCCTGTCTTCAAGCAAGCACGCAAGGTGCGAGCCATGTGACTGCATCGCAGATGTTGTTGCAGGACCAGGTCAACTAATTGGGATTTGGGGACAGTGGACAGGTACCGTCCAGCATGTTGACAACATGGTGCATCCAGGGACGAATCAGCCAGTAGTAAGTCCAGTTGTAGCTATTTCCAGCTGGAACCAATGCGTAAAAGAACGCATGCATCTCGCACCTGCTGCACATGTCTTTCTTGTATTTTCCCCACGGTGCTAGTGCCTAGTTCCTAGCCTCGCTGATTTTCACTCGCACAGCATGCGCCAGGCCAAACGAGCGGAGGAGCCCAAGAAGGCTTCGGCATGAGACGTTTGTTTGTTTGTTTGTTGGCAGGATTTGATTGAGCAAGTGGGTTTGCATGTGCGGAATATATATATATATATATACATATATATATAATACATACAAATTATATATATACATATGAATAACCAACACATATATATATATATATATACACATGTGCGCCTCGAAATGTGTGCAGTGTTCTGCAACCACCATAATTACAGCCTCACTTCATTTGAACTGGCAAAAGCACAGCCGCCTGAAGGTGGAAGACAATGATAATGATGAGGAGATGCCGGAGGCAGATATTTCGGGTGTTGTCCAACCCTCGATAGATCCCGTCCTATACTGAACTTTTCACCGCGGCCACTGTCAAGTTCAACAGTGCTTTTTCGATCCAGACTAAGAACAAGATGATGATCATGAAGAAGAAGACGAAGAAGAAGAAGAAGGAAAGGACGAAACAAAAGAAGATGAAGAAGACGAAGGAAGGAGGAGGAAGAGGAGGCGGAGAAGAAGAAAAATAAGAAGAAGAAGAAGAAGAAGAAGAAGAAGAAGAAGAAGAAGAAGAAGAAGAAGAAGAAGAAGAAGAAGAAGAAGAGGACAAATAACACATAGAAGAAGACATAGAAGAGAACAGTTCCTGCTTTTGTGGATATCAGATGTACTTTTTTGGCAGAGGTCTCATGGCGCGAACTGCCTGAGAACTGTCCAGCTTCTCTCACAGGAAGAGGTGAGCCCAGAGGAGAAAGCCACGCCGCTCCATCAGGAATTGAGAATTGATAGGCAGAGTTTGCCACAATCTTGACATGCTTTGGCTTGCCTTGGTTTCTTGGAGAACAGGAGTCTCAAGCAATGTTGTGATATATTTTGTTGGCGCTGAATCGTTCAGCTCGCTGAGGCAACTTGAGGAGGAGAAGGTGGCCAGCCGAAAGAAGGAGCTGAAGGCACAGCTTGCAGCTTGCCCAATCGAAAGTCCACTGGCTTCCATTGGATGGCCCGCTTGCTCTTGGACAATGTGCGAATTGGAACCGTTGAACCACAAGCTTGGAACGCGAGTCCCTGTGGAGGCTCTGGGTGTTGCCGACATCAAGGAGATGGCTTCAAAAGCATGCTTGCAGACAGGCGCGGTTTTTGCTACCACCTGTCTAAACCTCACTGGGAAAAGACCATGATGTGTGGCTGACATTTTCACTCTGACAGTGTGCTACATTTCCTCAGGTGTGGCACATTTGAGGCCCGCTGCTAGGGTCATGCAACCATGGTGCAACCATAGTCATGCTTCGCCATGACAAGTTTGCTTGTATGAGGATAAGTAGGGCAAACACCCAACTGGGCATCGCGGCATCACATGGTTGGTTTTTCCAGCAGCCCTAGTTTTTTGTTGTTGTTGCTTATTTGAACGCCCAGACACAAGCGCATAGATGTTGTAGGCAGAACCACGAGGAAGAAGGCCTCCCTGCAAAGGCTCTTTGGGGGTGCATCGGAGGAAAGAAGGAGGACATGATTCAGGCCATCCTGGAGCAGGAAGCATCAGAGCGGGAGGCGGTGAAAGCCCGTGAAGCCCAAATCCGAGCAGTGGTCGTGCAGAAGAAGGAGCGGTTGCGAAATTTGTTTGGAAACATCTCAGACACCGGAAAGAACTGGAAGCCGTGCCAGGAAGAACTGGAAGCTCGCAGCGCGCCGGAGCTGAAAGAGCTCTGCGCGGTCCAGGGCATCACAGGACATGTTGGTATCAGCACATGGGCTGTGTGCATCAGCAGACCTTGTCGACTTCATGCCAATGTTACCTTCTGACCCTCATTCCGCTTGCGCCCATACTGGTTGAGACGAGATGCGACATAATGCATCTCATCAGCACGGACCAGCTGCGCAGCTGACAGAAGCTCAATGGGGCAGTGCCAACCAGCTAATCATCAGCATGACCGGCTCTTGCGATTCATCAGGCGCCTGCAACAGCCCTACTTTCAGCACGCTAATCAGCCGATCAACTGAAGCTTCCTCCCATGTTTTCCGGGATTTCGGGCCATGGCCGCTGCCGACACGGTGGAGAGTCAGCTTCGCAACACGGTGCGTGCCGCCCGCACGAGATCGCTGAGGTGTGTCAAGGCGATCATCGCCAAGAAAAGAGCCTCGGAAGCTTATGTGGCTGTGGGTCAAAACCAATGGTACCATTTTGGGGTAGGTGCACCACCCATAGAAGTCTATTTTGGTGGGGATTGGGATGTTCACTGAAATTCGGGCTTTTGACCCATGGCCATGTTTGGATGCGTTGCAAGAGTCGCATGATCACTTGCATGACTTGTGGCGCAAGAAGGAGCTGTTCTGCTTGATGCAAAGAAACCTGCGGCAAGGTTCCAACCTGGACCCTGATTCCGTGACGTACACACTGGTGCCTTGACTTTCAAAGTCGTCGATCATCTTTGATCCGTGCTTCCCGGATGAACAATGACTGGCAGGCGTTGGCCAACTCAGCCCCGGATGAGGGCCAAAGCTTGGACAAGGAGTTCCAGCGCTGTGTGTCTTGGCTTGAGCTTTCACATCCTTCAAACCCAGGTCAGAGTGGCTTTATCACTCAATGATTTGCAAGCAGCTCGCACTTTGCTCATATCGCAAGCCTTCAAGTGTAGGCTGACAGGCTATGGCCACCAGAAAGTGGCATCTATACCCTATTTGACTTACTTGGCTGAATAGGGAGCCACCACAAGTGGTGGATATGAACCCCTACTGAATCTTGATGTTCGCCAAAGGGTCTATCAGCACTTGGACTCGAGATCAGGTGAAAGGCCTGCTCGAGCCAGAGAAGCCCAGCTTCTTGCTCTTCCGCGCGGATCTCTGCGAGAACATCGACGGCTTCTCGCCTTTCGGGTGACCTTTCGGGTGATTTCTCGAGTGACCGGGCACGCCATGGAACGACGACTCGAGGCAGAGAACTACCCATGGAACGACGACAGGCAGAAGAGAACTTGAGCCAGGGGACATAAAAAGCAGCTGTTTGTTCAGCTGACTGTCCAAAGGCCGATTTCGGTTTAAGTCTTGTCAGCTCACTGAAAGCAGGATTCCCATGCGTGCTCATTTTGGAGCGGAGTTGGGCATGCTTGAATCCTTTTGCATCTTACATGTGCTGTGTGACGTGTGCTTGCACATATTCGACTAGTAAACAATTGGGGTACACACGTGCCGGCCTTACAACAATGGCCACTGTCTTGACGTTTACTTGACATGTCTCTTCTTGAGTTGGAATCTCTACTGAGCTTGCGTTGCCTGATCCTTTCTGTACGTTTGCAGCATTCTGAATTAGTGTTGACTAGTTTGCCATGCCTTCGAAAAGCGGATGTGCTCATGCTTCGCGGTATGAATTGGCAGTTCAGAGGGAGTTATCGCCAACCATTTGAGAGAGGTGGCCCCTTTGATTGTTTTCATTGCATGGCTATATTAATATCTTTGCTCGGCTTGGATCTTGAGGTTCGCGCTGGCTCTTGCTGGCTTGGCTTCCAGATGTTGTGCCGGAGATTGATCGGGCAAGGCGGGCGCAAAGCTGCTAATTCGGCCAAGTGAATAAGCATCACCCGAGCCACCTTTAAAATTTAGCTCCTTGTTACTTCGTTGCGAGAGCAGCCCCATGTGCTTGTGTTTGAACCCTGAGGGTAAGGATTTCGAACGCTACATGAATACATGTGAGCCAGACAAGAACGACTAGCCAGTATTGGTAGGGTGCAGGAGGTTAGACGAGCATGTTTGCCTGATCCCATGCCAGGTATGTCCGAAGCAGAGGGCTGCTTGCCGACCTGGTGCCGCAGCCGCCGCTTGCCCAGAACGAATGGGACTTTGGAGTTGGCGGGTCACGCCATGAGTGCCCCTCATCCTTTGAGCTTGTTTTCAAGGGCGACGGCAGAAATGAAGTGCTTCAATGGTGAGTCAGGCTGTCCTTTTTGGGGTTTGGATTGGTTTTTGCGGGTTTGAGCCCCTGGCCTCAAACCACGAAGAGGGAAGCTGAAATGAAGTGCTTCAGTGGAGGTATTTCCTCAGCGAGCTCTTGGCGCGGGAAGTCAAGAGTCTGGTTTGGTCCAGCGCTGCTGCAGCACTGAGCCGCACACGGAGGCGCGAAACAAGATGCGGCTGGTTCTGGGTAGCGCTGCGCGACGGGTTGGGCTGTTTTGACGCAGCCCTTGGGTTGGTGTTCTTTTTATTCATTTGGTCCCCCGATTCAGTCATTTTAAAGAGAAGCCAACGAGAACAAAGCCAATGTGGGGATCACCGATTGCACGCACCCTTTGCTGGAGTCTTCAAGGCCAAAGGAAGCGGAGGAGGACCTGCCAGCGAAGCCTCCGACGCTGGAAGCTCCCCAGGGGCAACTCAGCTTTGTAGGCTGCAAGAAGGGTCTTTTTTTAATTGTTTATGGGAATTGCCGAAAGACGACTGCTTCTGCTCTATCAAGACTGATGATATCTTAATAAATTCACGTTGGTCATACCGGTGGAGCCGCTGTAAGCAGTTGCGTGCCATGCTGCTGGCGCAGCAGCTCCAGTAACCCTGTTTGTCTTTCTTGTAATGACAAGCTAGGTTGTTCGTTTCCACGCAGGTGATGCCTGCTGTTTGGAAGCAGATTGCCCTTTCGGTGCACTCTGAGGCTACATTGGAGGACCCCTTCCATGACTCATTGCAGGGGTTTAGCCGCCGAAGTCAAGTGACGCATGTACCAACCTAGGCCGCTACGCTTGTCGCAGGCAGCACAGGGTTTACTTCAGCGGCTGGCCAACAAGGAGGATAGATTCTCGGCGTTGAACATGTCTTGATGACTTTACAATGCAACACCGGCCACCAGCCATTTCAACCCCCGCAATTTGAGACAATGCCACATTCCTGTTTTCACATGGAAGGCACCCCTGGCGGTGCAAACCACCCCGAACATTTCCTTAGTAGAGCTTTTGCCAAAGTTAGTTTTGTTGAGGGAATGGTATGATCTATTTGGGAAGTTCTGCGAGGCATGTCGACTTTGGCTTGGAATTGTTCTGATGAATGTGATTGAAGGAATTGAGCTAGCTAAAGGCTGCAAAAAGATAGTTTGATGCAGAGCATGAACAGCCTCCACACCGGAAGTCCTCACAGTGTGGCCTGGTTGACGGACAGAAATACCGCATGTGGGCAACCCTCGTTTTGCTTCTCAGCACAGCCAACACGCAAGGGGGGGCCAAGTTTGCAAGTGTGCGTGCCACCTGGCTGGCTGCCACGTCTTCAGTTCACATACCAGCAAACTCAACGAAGCTACGATCAACCCGGCATACCTGCCTTTCAGATGTTATGTTGCTCACTGCTGTTTCCCGTTGTTTGCGGTTGCGTCGAAGTGGTTTGAAGCCATACCTTGGGACCTCTTCTGCTTCTTTCGTGGCTGGGGAAAGAAATGCTGCTGCGCGAGTGCGCCAGTGTGCGCGTGCGCGCTGGGTTCCAGAGTCCGACTCCAACCTTTGGGAGCTATGGCAGCTGCCCAAACTGTGAGAGAATGTAGAAAGCGATGGCCGGGCTGGGGTGTGTGACTATCAGTGAAACAGCTCTGAGTTTGATCATTTGGGTATGAGTCAAAGTTAAACCACCAGACAAACGCTGGTTTTAGTCCTTGATTTACCCGTACCCCCAGTGAAAGTCCCCAATCCCCACTAAAATAGGAAAAATGGGTGGTGCACCTACCAGAATGGTACCATTGGTTCCTTTTTGGTTACCAATTTTTGACCCCCAACCAGCTGAAAGGCTGCCTGAAGCTGGTGGTGATCCGGACGGCGCGCCAGCAGGCGCCGCAGCTGGAAGCCAAGGCCGCTCGGAGGGGAGCGAAGTGGCACGACCAGTGGCCGCTTTTTCTTCCTGGTGATCTTCCGGCCGGTCCTTGGAAATAGGTCCATTTTGTTTTTACTTTTTTTTGCTGCTCCTGGCAAGTTTCGTCTGAACCCCTGCAGGAGGAATCACCCTGAAATCCGAAGCCATATCCCTTCAGGTGCAGTTTTTATACAAATTGATGTTAGGAGCGCCTTGTGCATGATCACACATCAAGCGAGCTGAATCTTCACGAAGATCTTAGTTGTCCTTGCTTGAGCAAATTGGCTTCAGGGGTTTTCTTTTCAATGAGGGGGGGTTACTTTGCAATGTACTGATTCCGAAGACCAAGTCTTTGCTACGGGCCCACCCCCTCTCTGGTTCGCCCTCAGCCCTACACCACCGGCACATTCTCGCAATCCTGTCCGCAGTTTTGCGATGTTTGAGTTTGGGTGTTAGTGACTTCTGGGTGTTCATTTAAGGTTGCTATTCTCGTTGTTGGGCTGGCTGGCATTCGTTCACCCGCTGCTCAAGTCTACGCTACAGCTCTTCCTGGGTCAGAGCATCCCAGAGTTTCTTTGCTTGGCCTGCCTGCTTTGCTTCGGTTCTCCAAATGACTGTCCGTTTGGCAACTCTGCATACCTGAGTGAAGCATGCTATTTTCACGTGCCTTAGACTGCTTGAACCTGGGAAACACTTGAATGTGACTGGCCTGCTTGTGACTCCAGCCATGGCAACTTGACTTGAGGATGCTGCCAGCCTGGTTGTGCGCGTCAGGTCATGGATTGTCGCAGCCCGTCACAGCTGGCGAAAGCTGATCTGCCCTCCACGTGGCTTGAGCTCAAAGGGGTTGGGATGGAGGTCCTGAGGCATGGCGCGAGGACGCTTGAGAAGTGATCAATGACGCAAAGCGGGGGC